CGGTACGTCGTACCGTACGTACGTACGTACGTACCGTAACGTAACGTACGACACTAACTATATAGTACGTACGTACTACGTCGTCGACGAACGGACGTACGTCTCTCTCTCTCTCTCTCTCTCTCTCTCTCTCTCTCTCTCTCTCTCTCTCCACATTTAAATGAATGGTTGAATGTGTGAATCTTGCAGTCCATTCTTTCATTATATAAATGAAGGGCTCAGTGTTCTTTTGTTGCATAGATCTAAGTTTCAGAGTCAAGCTAGGCTCCATCATTCCTATTCAAAGAAACAAGTTTAGTCTGGCCACCATAGCACCACATTATAGTAACCATTAGCAAAGTTGAAAAAACGAATTTCTTTGGGTATGGACTTCGGCACTTTATAGTACTAGTTCTTTAGTTTGACTTTGAGAAGACAAGCCTTTGTAAACAAATTGTTTAAACAAATATGTGATGTCCTAGCTTTGTTGTGTATAAATGGCCAATGACATCACAAAAAATAAGTTCCGAGGTTCAGCATCAATAGGAATTTAACATTGTAAAGGAGTAAATGTTGACTTGTAATCAACCACATTCCCCCGAAAGTTAAAGCACAGGCAAAGGAGACTTTACAAAAAGTCACAGCACTTACCGGCCGCCCAAACTTTGATAGTTCTACACCTTTAGCTCTCTGCTGACCAGGATAACCTTCAGAATAATACCCATCACAAGTCAAACAAAAGAATGATAACTTGCATGGGGAAAAAAACAAGGACATAATATCCAACTAGAGACAATAATAGAACTCGAAAAAAGCACATCCACAAATAATCTCACAAGTAAATACTTAACTGTACATAAATATTCCATCAATCTAACAAACAAATGAAGAAAAAACACAGCCATTTCCTTCCTTTAAACTAATAATAGGGCCAACTACTGGGTAGAGACTCACGACAGCTCCTTTTTGTCAGTATTTTAACCAGGATAACTTCTCCATATTATAACAAAAATGCTTAAGGATATACAAAGCAAGTAAACAAGGATAACTTTTCTGTATTATAACAAAAATGCTTAAGGATATACGAAGTAATAATCCTCCCCATGGTGCCATAAGTTCTTCTCTTCCTTAAGGACAATACTTATCATTAAAGGGCTATAAAGAAATTGTAAGGCCCAATACAGCAGGTTAATAGTCAAGATTGCATAATCCCGAATCCTTTCCCCCAATCCCCAACACATTGACAAGGAATATAAAATACAACAAGTACTCCTAAAAATGATCAGGTCACTAATTATTTATAAAGTTTTTTGAAGTTGACCTTGCAAATTTATAAGATAATTATGCTCTAAGAAACTTCTAAAGATATTCCATAGCAAATGGATAATCATATGGCTTCTTACCAGCAAATAGAACAAGCCCATCTTCAGAAACTCTGGCAAGTTCAGGAAGGGTCTTGTTAAGATATTTTGGGGATAAGTAGTCTAGCGCATCTGACACAATAACAAGGGAAAATGATTTTTCCTTGTAGGGTAGATTAAACTTAATATCAGCTAGACGCACGATGCCCTTGCGCACAAGACTCTTGCAATTATCATTGGCATCCTCAAGATCATATGGTTCCACACCCCAAGCTTCAAGATCATCTTCCTTCAACAACTTTGAGACCACTGCACATGTATCAGGGCCAACATGCAATACTTTACGCATACTCTCACCGTATACTTTCCTCATAAGAGGTATAGCTCTGAGTACTTCTGCAGTGCATGAAGTGTCCCCTGCACAATGGAGATTTTGAATATCTTTAAAACCAAAAATAGGAGAACTGTCAAGAAAATTGCTTAAGAATCAATGGTTTATTTATCAAGAAGTCAAATGTCATTAAAATGTAACAGCTCACCAGCTATCAATATTGTTTTGCATAGAACCACACTTTTGTGTAAAATTGAAAACATTCAAGAAGATAGCACAATTGCTTGTCTGCAGGGGTTTGGAATTGCAATATTGCATAGGTTCATCCAGAATCAAGCCCCACTAGGTCATGGTCACCAGGGCCTTAAACATTTATAATTTCTTAGAAATGTTCTCCAATGAGATACTAACAAACTTCTGTGACTTGTGAAGGGAGAAGTTAAAATATAAAAATAAAACAATTTTCCGTCTTTTCTTTTTTTTTAAAGGACAAGCTTCAAGTGTCTAACCCTTAATCTACCACTCACAAACCACGATTGCCTACCACAAGCATAAAGCCTAAGGGACACCAAACAGACTGTCAGCAGAAAATAAGTTTTCATAGGTAATGGGCAAGGAAGACAGGCAGGGATATGTATCAGGCTGCTTATGGTCAACTAGTTATTAAGATTGTAACGGAGCAGTCTGGATGTGTGTAGAGAATCTACTGTGCCTTTGTTCTAGACTCTTCTAAATTTTGACAAAAACCAATTAGGAAAGCAGTCATGGAAAGTGAAATGAAGAACATTAGGGATACATTGGTGAAATTAAATGGTTGCCAGCCAAATCGAATAGTGGACAGCACGAAAGCAAAAGCTAGATCTTTCCTCATTTCTGTCATGGTTTGCACGTCATACTTATCTGGTCATTTATCTCTTTAAAAGAATTTGTGAAACAAGCCAGGTTGGGTTAGTAGTGTTTCCCTGTGGATGCAAGCTAATGTTTAAAAAGAACACATGTTTAAAAAGAACACATGAGCTCGCTATTTCAATTAGATCTAATTCGAACAAGCCCATAATAAGACAACAAAGTAATCGAAAGCAGTGAATTGGAGTCTCCAATTTCCCACAAAATCATTATTAATCGTTGGATGTGAAATTAACATGTAATGGTCATTCATTGGGCACAAAGTCCAAAATCATTATTAATCGTTGGTTGAGAATGTGTCATTCATTGGACACAAAGTCCAAAATAATTTTTTTCGCAAGATTTATTGTGACCTCTTTGTACCGCAAGTAATGGTCTCATAGTATACAATCCCTATAAATAAATGAAAATCTCAAAATCCATTATCATGTAATGTCTAAAATCAATTAACATGTACATAATGTCTCACTTGTGCTATATTTTTCTAGACTAATAAGACTTAAGTGCACTGAAAAGGTATATCAAGAAACAAAACTCAACACAAAGTGATACATATCAACATATATATACCTCCATCCTTACTCAGTGCCTCTCGATCACTACTAGACCCTGTCATGAAAACAGCATCACATCAGTCACTGCCCCACAGAATACACACCCAAAACACAATTTTCTAAAGAACAAACACCTTTTCTTTACATAAAAGTTTAACAACCCACAAACATACCCAAAACAAACAACTCCCTTACGAAAAGCCAACCTTTTTACATAAGTTTTAAGAACTAACACTTAAACGACATCAATAGATAGCACAAGGAGCAAGCGAAATCCAACAATAAAAGAATCTTAGTATTTCTTTTTTCTTTTTTTACTGTTCAAGGTCCATAGTATTCAATTAACGATATCCATCACTATTTATGGCGATCAGAAATTGTAATTTTCCCATTTATTCATGGATCAAAATGCCCTTGCTTTCCTTTTCCTCTTTTGTATGCATTGTTTGAAAAATCGGGTGACCTAACCGCTAACCGCCTGGTTAGATCGGAACAGGCCAGTGGTCAGTTCCGGTTTTAGTAATCAACCGGTATTAAAAAAATAAAAATAAAAAAGTTGTATAAATTCCCAAATATAAGGAATTTGGTTTGCAATGCATTTTTTTAATATTCTTTACATTATGGTAAAGATAAAAACTTGTTTTTGTCATTAATACTCACTTTAATTCAAAAACTGTTTCACTAAAATCTATTTTTTTCATTAATTTTCAACTTCATTTGAATGTGTTTTGTTTTAATTATTCTTTATATGTTTTTCATATTGTAGTTGATTTTTTTTTGTACGTTTTTTATTTTTTCAATATTTTTTTGACCGCCCGGGACTTGCCCGGTTAGAACGGTTGAATTGGCCGGTTTACTGGTTAAGCCGGTTAAACCGCTTTCGGGCCGGTGTTCGCAAAATGGACCCAAAACGGTTAACCGAACATGGGCCCAGAAGTGGTTTAACCGGCCAAACCGGTAAATCGGCCGATTCAACTACTCTAACCCGACAAGTCCCGGGCAATCAAAAAAGTGTTTAAAAAAATAAAAAAGATACAAATACAAAATCCACTAAAATATGAAAAGCATATAAAATGACTTTGAAAATTAATTAAAAAACAGATTTTAAAAAAGATATGTGCCTAGGGTATTTTTAAAATTTTCTTAAAAAGATGGGAAATATAAAAGTAAGTATTAATTACCAGAATAATTTTTAATATTTACCATAATGTAAGGAATATTAAAAAATGCATTGCAAATCAAATTCCCTATTTTTGGGAATTTATATACATTTTTTTGAAAAAAAATTTTAAAATACTGGTTGATCACCAAAACCACCACTAACCGGAACCGGCCAGCGGATGGTTCCGATCTAACCAGGCAGTTAGCGGTTAGATCGGCCGGATTTGCAAACACTGTTCCGGGCCCATGTCCAGTTAAGCATTCCTGTTCAATTTTGTGAACACTGTTCGTATGTCTTGATTTTGTGCTGTTTCAATATGATCATTTACCGTACAAGTTCAATAGATTTATTTATAAAACAAAATGAACATGGGTGTAAGATCCAATGCAGTTTAGACGATTGATGCAAACCTGAACCGCTATAAGAGTAGCCAATAAGAAGGAATGCACCCTGAAAATCCAGAAAAAAATAAATCAATAGAAAGTCATCCGAAGAAGTAAAAAGAAACAGAAAAAAGAAGAAGAAGAATAAGATGATGAAAAAAATGTAATTAAAAATTAAAATAGAAAACAAGGCTTCAAAACAATGCAATAAGAAAAAAGAGGGAAAGATCGTGCGCGCATGTGTGTGTGTGTGTGTGTGTGAGAGAGAGAGAGAGAGAGAGAGAGAGAGACGACGAGTAGTAGAGGACGACCAGTAGTAGACGATAGAGGAACGAACGCGTAGTTTAGTTTTGGCGACGAGCGCGTACGTACGACTACGTACGAACTAAGTAAGGAACG